TGTTTTTTGTGCAGCGGAGTATTACACAGTATCCATTCTAAACACTGAAGTTTGAAGTATGCAATTCCAGTGTTGTGAAGATAATTGTTCCGAAGAGTGCAGTCGTTAGATGCTTCTTTTGGCTTCAAGTTTTGAAACGAGGACTCTTTTTGGATTTTCCCAGTTTTGCAAGGCTGCAACTGTTGATGTGCTTGTCTATCAAGCACCTTTTGTTGCCACTGAAGACAGGCAATGCGTTGCACTAGCAACTAGTACTCAATCGCTCGAAGATTCCAGAGCTCTTGGAATGCAATGACGTTTTCTTCAACTGCGCTGGTGTCAGTAAATTGCTACCCCTGATGTCCTTTACTTTGCAGACCCGGGGTTTTGAAAAGCACAAGTGCATGGTTGGCATGCAGCGCCCTTTATGCAAACGGACAGGTTTGTGCAAAGAGGCTTGCTCCTTTTGTCGACAATACATGCATCTAAATGCTGCGAGCTTGGTGTTCCAAAGACTGAACCGAACGGCAATATGAAAGACTGCAGCTCGGCAGGTGGCAGAGGGGAAGCCTGATCTTGGACAGGTTGAACACGCTACCGTCGCTTTATTGGTGAAGTGGACGCTGAACGGCTACCAGAGGACGCTGAAGGGCTACCAGTGTATGGCCATGGCACGAGATTCAGTGCTGCTTGCCATTGAGTGCTGCTCTATGCCTTCGCATTTCACCATCGAGGAGGCCTTGAACCTTTGAGGCTGAAAGGGCTTTTGTGAGACCCGGCGCAAGAGTCTTGAGAGGCAACTTTGGGTTTCCTCGGGCTCTTGAAGAAGCCCTCCTTTTGTTGAAAAGAACACAATATTTTTTTCAGAGAAGTACACTTCAAAGGGAGGTTTTTTCAAGCTCCTGACACCGTGACCTGTCAGGTTGAGGTCCTGAGAATGCTTAGCTACCGCCTGGTCTTCCGCAAAGCTGCCAGGTGTATGGTGCGCATCAAGTGGGGCAGAGGGGCGATGTGCTGGGCGAAGCCGTGAAGCGAAGCTCCGCGGTGTTCGCCTGCCGTCGTCTCTTGGTGGTGGCTCGAACGAACAGGCCGATACTCTTCATGCCTCGCTGCTTGGTGGAGCACGGGCCCATACTGACATTCTGGTTCCAGATCTACGGCTTGTGCTCAGGGGGGCTGACCAGTGATATTTGCATGATTCTAAAAGAAACGAGGTGTGTCTTGCTCACATTCTGCCCTTGTCCATTTGTTATTGCAACAACGGCAAACTTGACATTGAACAGTTGAAGAGGTGTCATGCAATATGGCAGACAACTGCCTCACTGGCAACTTGCCTTCCTTGTGACTGTCGCAGAATGCAAGGGTCCTTCACAAAGTGGGGAAGTCTGATCCTGGAACGTAGCCCCAGCAGGAAGTGGGAAAGAAGACTGTTAATTCAACTTCCACACGTCCAAGAGTTTCTTCTTGGAGTCTGTGTAGTGCCCGGTTTTCTTCTATCACTATGTTACTATGTTCCTTGAAACCAGCACATCTGATCGTTGCTTCCCGTTAGTTAACCTTGGGGTACGGTATCAAGTTGTGAAGCGGCACCGGCAAAGACAATATCTTCACACTTTTGATTCCAGATCCTCTGCGGCTGTCTTGATCATTGGAAAAGTCACAGCTGTTGGATGCTGCAAATGCCTTTTTTGGTTGCAAGTCTTGAAAAGAAGCCTCTTGGAAGCCTGCAAGGCACGCCATGCTCAGCGATATTCGATAAACGCCTGGGTTGGATGTGCACTTGGCCGTTATGCGGCGGAGATTGCCAATTGCTGCACGTGTTATTTTGAAGCCTGTGCGTCGAGACTGATGCAGCTTGCGGAATGCACTTGCTTTTGTCCAGGCCTATTGGACATGCCATTTACCCCGCTAGCCTGCATTCCTTAATGCCTGTGTGATTGGCGAACTGCGCACTAAAGCATGTCGTTCGTGAAGGCCTGGCAGTGCCCTCAAACACTGAGCTTGGAATTCAAAAGCTGAAAAGGCATCATGCAATATGGCAGTCAACTGCCTCACTGGCAACTTGCCTTCCTTGTGACTGTCCCAGAATGCAATGGTCCTTCACAAACTGGGGAAGTCTGATCCTGGAACGTAGCCCAGCAGGAAGTGGGAAAGAAGACTGTTAATTCAACTTCCACACGTCCAAGAGTTTCTTCTTGGAGTCTGTGTAGTGCCCAGTTTTCTTCTATCACATCCTTGAAACCAGCAAATCTGATCTTTGCTTCCCGTTAGTTAACCTTGTTAACCTTGGGGTACGGTATCAAGTTGTGAAGCGGCACCGGCAAAGACAATATCTTCACACTTTTGATTCCAGATCCTCTGCGGCTGTCTTGACCACAGCTGTTGGATGCTGCAAATGCCTTTTTTGGTTGCAAGTCTTGAAAAGAAGCCTCTTGGAAGACTGCACTGGTAAGCAAAGAGCTGCCACCATGGATGCACTGTCAGGTGTATTTGTGTTGACATGTGAGATGTGTCTAATAGCACAACACCCTGCAGCCCCAGCCTTTCTGAATGGCATTCTGAAAGGCAATGTACAAGCTCCCGGGCCCCATGCTGAACTACAGCTCTCTCAAGTTTCAAGTTGCAGACATCATTCGTTTGTGAGACATGATTTGTGAGCCAGATTCAGCTTGTTTCGGACTGCGTGCAGCGTTAGGACCCTGATGCTCTTCCACGCAAATACTTGTCTAACCAAACACCACATGGTTCATACAGGAAACAGTACAAAATCCAGGGGGTGGCCCTTGTCATAGGTTTGTGTTCCTCTATATAGATGCAGTTCTGCCTCACAAACCTCTCCGCTCGGCTTCGTGGAACCTGATCAAACCTCGCCACTACTGCCTTGCTCGAAAGCTTTCAGACCGTCTCATGTTGATCAGCCCCTCTAACACCCTGCCAGCTGCCTTTACTGCCTGAGTGTGATACTGGAAAGGCACCATGCCAAGACTGAACCAACTATGTATGTATATCCAAATCAGCTGATGGGCGACGACATCAATGCACATTAGAGAAGCTTGGCTCGTCCCCTGTTGCCTGTGAACAAATAAACCTGTGCTCCTACTTTCTCCTCAATTGAGACCAGGCCCATGTATGATTGCACCATCGTGAACTGTTACAATGTCTCGAAGGCCGCAGCTGGAAGCAAAGTTGTCTGTCACAACACCACAATGGCCTGTCATCAGATTGTGCTGAGGCCCTTTTTCTGTACATGCAGCTGCTTCCATGGTAGCAACTATTTGACTGGTGAGGCAAGTATGCTTTCACTTGTTTGATGCAGACATGTCTTTCAACCACAACCACTTGAGTTTGCACCGCAGTCCTCTACCAAGTAGGTGCATGCCCTGTATCTCCCAGCCACACTGACACAGAAATCGGTGCTTCGGAGGAGCAGGTTTGAGTTAGGTCTGCAGTCGTTGCCACAGTTGAGTGTACACTACGCAATCAATCGGTTCACAGGTGCTTTTTCTCACATATCTTCTCACATGAATGGATCGATTTTGCTGCGTTCTGCTGTTTTTTCGACCAATTATGAGCTTTCAAATAGCTCCCACTATTGAGTGCCTTCACTGGCGATCTTGTTTGTCACTGGCCTTTGATGTCTTGCTTTCCCAGGGTGTGCTGAACACCAGGCCTTTCATGGAATATGCAAGCGGTGTTTGTGCTTGTGGTCCAAGCAAATACGGTTTCATGGTTATCTGCCCTGCGACATGCATAGGTTTGTGTTCCTCTCACAAACCTCGCCACTACTGCCTTGCTCGAAAGCTTTCAGACCGTCTCATGTTGATCAGCCCCTCTAACACCCTGCCAGCTGCCTTTACTGCCTGAGTGTGATACTGGAGAGGCACCATGCCAAGACTGAACCAACTATGTATGTATATCCAAATCAGCTGATGGGCGACGACATCAATGCACATTAGAGAAGCTTGGCTCGTTCCCTGTTGCCTGTGACACAAATAAACCTGTGCTCCTACTTTCTCCTCAATTGAGACCAGGCCCATGTATGATTGCACCATCGTGAACTGTTACAATGTCTCAAAGGCCGCAGCTGGAAGCAAAGTTGTCCGTCACAACACAATGGCCTGTCATCAGATTGTGCTGAGGCCCTTTTTCTGTACATGCAGCTGCTTCCATGGTAGCAACTTTTTGACTGGTGAGGCAAGTATGCTTTCACTTGTTTGATGCAGACATGTCTTTCAACCACAAAAACTTGAGTTTGCACCGCAGTCCTCTACCAAGTAGGTGCATGCCCTGTATCTCCCAGCCACATTGACACAGAAATCGTTGCTTCGGAGGAGCAGGTTTGAGTTAGGTCTGCAGTCGTTGCCCCAGTTGAACGTACACGAGTTTGTTTTTCGAGGCTCTAGAATACAGCCGGCAAATTTGGATTTCAATCGTCATTGTCATTTAGTTCCGAGCTTTGCTGGTTTTAAGCACAAGGTGATGGGGTGATTCTTCTAGAACCGCAACCTGCTTCATCTAAAATGCAAAGATGCATGGCTGCTTGCGCTTTAGCCATGCGCGCTCTGCAGAATGGGCTTATGCTCAGTTTTATGCTGAGTTTGCGTTTTTTCATACATCAAGCGTTCCATGATTGCCTACCACACAGCACTTGTTCAGTGTCATTTTTGGTTTGAAGACTTGACGGTGGAAAAGGACGTCTTGGAGGAAGCATTAGAGACTTCATGTAGACCTTTTTCTTTCAACCTAGTTCATGTATGTTGGGGACGATCACATCTGCCAGGAGTTTTGTAGCGTTGCCTCTTTTGAGCTCTGGGTGTTGTACACTGAGAGCCAAACAGATGTTTCTGAGCAAATCTACCGGTGGGTCTTCATTCCCAGTGGGGGTAGGCAAGTTTTAATCCCGAACACCCCCTAAGCTGGTCTTGAGACCCTGCCACCAAAAATCAACCGAAATGAAAGAGGACTCTCCAGACTCTCCACTTGTGCGCCAAGCTCAGATCTGATGTTCTGCTTTGGTGATGGATGGGTGCCGCGTCTCCTCAATGATTCAGATCGGCGAGGAGCGTGTAAGTCTGGCTTTAGCTTTATGCGGACGAACATCAATTTACATGTGATTTGAGCAGGAGCGGCCATGTACCAGCTGAGTCCGCTTCACACCTCATCCTGTCCGCAAATGACAGCCCACTCTGCCTGGGACTCACGACATCCTCGACTCATGCCGTTCGACTCGCTTGCGAATATCTGTGTGTGACTCATCAAAATCTCTGAGTCCGTGCGAATCGTTGAAGGAGAGCCTTGCGCGTAAGACGTGTTTGTGGGTTCCGGGTTTGGAGCCAAAGCCCACTGCGCCATGTGCATCCAGGAGCAGTTTGACGGGAGAGGACTTGGCCGTCCTGTCGTCGGCAGCGCAGGAGCTGCAACTGACTAGAAGGGTGTGAACACAGACTTTCCGGTTGTTTGGGAGTTAGAAGTTTGTGCTTCCTCTCGATGAGTGTTTGGTGATACATTCGAAGAACCGATACTAATTAGTCGAACTAGTATTGTGAGTCTTTGACTTGTTCGAGAATTTGCTCCACGATTCTGGGGCGAAGATCGCATCGATTCGTTCGGGAGAGCGGATCATTGGGCCTCCAGAGATCGGAAGCGATGGATTTCTGTTCAAGTCTTATTTACCGACTTGTGGAGTCTTTTTCTCTGCACAGTCGGATTTCCTGCCACATCCGCCACCGTTTTTAAAGGGGGGAGCTTGCCAGTGTCAATGTCTCGTATCCGTCTGTCGTCAGTGGCGGGTGGTGAGCTCAGATGCCTCGCTGCTCGCTTCGCGGCTGGGCACTCCAGCGGTTTTGCTGCAAGCCGAGCAGTCACTGGAGTGGCAGTGAGTGGCGGGTGAGGCGATATGTTGAGAGATGGGGTGGTGGTGTGGCCAAAAGCTGCATTGCTACAAGTTGAGATTTAGCTTCAGATCCCAACTGTGGGACATTTGGAAGAAGATTGAAGATCCACGAGGAGAAAATCGCTGCTTGCTCCGGGTTCCTAGGATTGCAAGTAGATTGTGAAAGGACAGCAAGGGACAACTTTGCTTTGATAGGAGAGGATGGAAGATGAGCAACCCCAAATGGGATTGAGCATGAAGTCTTATAGACTCTAGACTTTTTGTTTCGATCCCGAGCTTTGCAGCTCTGCTTGGTTGGGCCAAATCACCCATTCTTGATCTCAAAGTGTTGATCCAACGAAGGTCCAACAAGTATCACGTTAGCCAACATGTCAGTTCCGTTAGGGACATTGCGACAATTCAGTGCACCTTGTTTAGTCCAACTGCTACATGGAGTTCCTGCTTTCAGATTTTCATTTGCTTTCTGTGCGGATCAGGTGAACAGTTTTGTTTGTGTTTGGGTTTGGGTTGTACCTCAACTTTGTGGAAGCTGTATGGGAATCGAACACACTCCTTTGTACCGTAGAGATGAAAGTAGCCTGGTGGGCAGGAGCAAGGGTATCGAAGTGACTTTGCTGAACGCGTCAGACAGATGCAACTGATGCGAAGCTGGGGATGAAACAGGCTTGGCTATGCGTGAAGCGTAGTTGCGTCTCACATCCAATCCAGGCGGATTTCTGCAAGTTTCATGCCCGCTCAAATGCTCAAGCCATTTGCAAGTTGGATGGGGCGCAAACGGAAAAAAGAACGCATAGCAGAAAGGCACAACAACTCCCATTCGCACCGAGCGATCAAACTCCGAGAACTTGAATCGATCCAAGCAGACACAACTGACCCACAAGACCGGGAGACTCTAACATTGAAGCAGATCAGAAAAGACAGTGGCGAGTTTCAGCAGAACAGAACGCACCGCCATGGGACTGACATCGGAAGATCCGCTGTCACCTTCTGGTGGACGACATACTCAATTCAAGGAGCAAGAGTTTCAGAGGAAGGGGGCAAACCATGCTAAGGAGAATGGGTTACATGACATTGGAGGGAGAGGCAAAAGGATCTGAAATGTAGGAGGGAAAGGGGAAAGGCAAGCTTCCTAATGACATTTCAATTGGAACACTTCTTGGAACCAGAGTGACAACTTCGAAGCCAGGGCCGTTGGGTTTTGAGACTGGAATTTCACCTTCAGCAAGTACATTTGCCACGCCATCATGCCACCTAGCAAGTCAAAGCAATAACTGCCAGATGTACAAGCGTGACGTTGAAGTTGAACTCTGTCAAAAGCTAAGGACGCAAAGCCACAGAGTAGAGGAATAAGTGCAGTCGGTGTTGCTGTGCAATCAACCGGACCGGTAACGTCAACTAGACGACGAGTGGCCCGAAAGCATTTTTCATCACGTAGGAAGTCAGAGTGCGAGTTATCCGGTAAGTGTGCAGTGAGAAGTGTGAAGTCGAGTGCGTTGAGGTAGTGTGTGGGTTTCTGTGCGTGTGTCTATGTCCGTGTGGAAATGAGTCTGCGTATGTATGTGTTCGTGTAAGTTGAGGGAGTGTGTGGGTGTCTGTGTGTGATGCGGCCTCCCAAACCCCCCACCGGCGGCCAAGCGGTGACAGCCCAGCTCATCGTCGTGAGCATTTGGGCTGCTGGTAAGGGGAGAAGCAGCGTGCACGGCGCCAGGAAAAGCTCACGGAAAAAAACGAACCGGAATGAGGACACAAAAGTGCCGAGGCAGGTGCGCCAGAAGTGTCTCGAAGCAGTGACCTGTCAGAGGAGATGAACGAA